ATCTTCTATCGAATTGGTTGTAGACATCAATGCGGACTGGTGTAAAGGAGTAGAGGGATTTGTAATGAGGCATTTCGTTCCGCGCGCTTCTACTTTAGTTACAACAGGGTCGCGAATATGTACTTGTCGAACAAAATATCGCGGTGACTTATTCGGTAAAAAGAAGAGGATCAGATTCGCAATCGAACTCTGAACAAACAAAAAAGGCCGAACACTCCACTAGCATTGTGACAAAGTGTCACCGGGGACTACGAGTAGACCAAGCCGCAAAGTGCGGTCCGCTAATGTGTGTTCGACGGGGGATATACCACTATGATCAATATATACAGTAGCTGAGTTCGACTGTAAGACACGCTTCGCATACCAGCTCAGTGCAAGTGAAAAATGCGTTCTCCCCCGCTTTTTATTCAGATGTCACAGCCTTTTTAGAGGCGTTGTAGGGTATGAACAGCGTGTAAACTAGTGTACACGCGTAGAAAGGTCCGCAACAAGACTATCGTATACACATTTTGATGTCGGTCATTCTTGGATGCAAATACTAGAGTAGAGATGCCTAGGATGACGCGATACAAGATGCATGAGATATCCATGGGAGCTCTTAGTGACATGTCACTCCGGGCGAGTCTTCTCAATCTCAAGTAGGGTATATAACGAATACATGGACTCCGCTGCTGTCAACCTACTACACAGAATAGATACATCTTCGTCAAACCTCCTCACGGTCGAAAAATTCAACAAGTAAATCAACACGGTCGCACTTCTCGCTGCGTGATAAGGCACCATCTATTCACCCAAAGTATCATGTAGTCGCCCTATCGTAGTCTTTCTCACCACACTCGTCCATTCTATACGCTCCAAATCTGAATATGCAGCATGTACGATATCTACTCCCGTTCTACTTCATAGCCAGTCTACATGACCAAACACAAACTCAGCAATAGTGATTCAACAAGCTTTGCCCGATCCGATGTTCCTGGCGTTCTCCTGGGCTCGTTGACAAGTGTGGCTGCATCGGTGTCTACGTCTGCTTCTTGCGACGTGCGCACAGCCTGGCTAGATGCTGAGGGTCGTGCTTTTTAAAAGTTAGTTGTGTAGTGGTTGTATCATGGGGAGAGCACAGGCCCTCATACCAGAGTTTGGAATTGAAAGAGGCGGTGTCATAGCGAGACGGCAGTGGATCTGGTCTAAGCAGGCAGAACGGAAATGTTGCAACTGATGTCTGACACCTTGAACACGATAGTGATAAATGTAAATTTTCTCGGCGACGAAAGTCGCGATGTTTGAGGATGTTCGGCCTTCTGATCCGGTTGGGAATGCGAAATACGAGCCGGAATGACCGTGGCCAAGCAAGAGGCGCACGCTCAGCGCGTGGCTCGGGAGGAGTCAGTTGTCAGCAGGTCGAGACATAACTTGACTAACAATTCGAAACGTAGCGAATGATTTCATTTCCATGTTGCTTTGTAAACGAATCGCTGGCTCTTATCATTCCACGTGTACTGCTTTCGCTCTCATTTACCGTACAAACTGCGCTCTCCTACAATGCGCGACGATGGCCTGAACTGAATGCATGTGACGCTGTTCGATACAAGCGTCAACTCTGGCTTAGTGGACTTCCCGCGTTATTGCGGTGTCTGCATCCAGTCCACCGCAGTCGAATGACCTGGAGCGCGCCAAGGATACTCACACTGTTCAGTCGTGGCAGGCAGTTGGCCGAAAGCGACTGAATGCGCGTTGTCATGTACCGGTGATTGAATACATCTGCTCATGCTCTTACCTTCACATCTCCTCAATCTTCCAGCAGATCCAGCCAAAGAACTTTCTGCTCTTTGAAAGACTCATCCTCGATAACACCGCGGAACGCGACCTCGGCCTCCAGCAGGTCTGCTTCAACGTTTCTCTCTCCCATCTCTTCGTCGTCACTATCACAGCTATCGTTGCGCTTCTCTAATGCGTCAAGCATAGCCTCGCCCTTGGTCTCAAGCTCTTCAATGCGCTCATTAGCCAACGCTAGTGCTTCTCTCAGCGAAGACTCGGTGTCTGCGGCGGCTTGTGTAGTGGCTGAGGTGCCCTGAGATGTGTACCTATGCAGCGTGGCCTTCAAGCTCAGATTGCGCTGCTGCACCTTGTCTTTGGCACGGTCGCTCTTCTTAAGACGGGTGATAGTACGCATGGCATCGTTAAGCTGATCGACAAGCTTGTCGTGCGCGGAGACGAGTATTTGAAAGCGCGAGTAGAGTTGCCCGCCAGCTGTCCTATCCTCTTCATGGCGGAATCGTAGATTGGCGTTTTCCTGCTCGATCTCGGAGATAACGCAAGTTTGGTGCTCAAGGTCCTGATGGGCGGCCTTGAGGTCCTGTTCTTGCTCCAAAGCGAGCGAGCGCCAGTTGTCTCGGTCACGACGGAGGCGAGCTGTAAGTGATTGCGCCCAGGACAGTTCACTTAATAGACCTTGCTTCGATCTTGAGGTTGTATGTGGGGACTTTGGAGATGGGAGGGAGTGTTGGTAGCTGGTGGTGAAGCTTCCCTCACTGGGTAGGCGAAATTCGAGTGTCAGTGGGCTCGTGGGCGCGGAGGCATGTCGCGTGAACGATCTGAAGAGTCGCGACTTTGGGTTTGCGGTGACGATATGCGCTTCAGATACAGCGGCTGGCATTTTTGGCGTTGTAGCTGCTGGTGTTCGGGTACCAAGGGGATGTGACGAGGGTTGCATATAATGGTGGTACTACAAAGAAAGTGAGACAAAGAAATGGTCTCAGGTGTAGACGTTAATATGTACAGCCAGCAAACGGGTGTGCTGTTTGAATGTGGGGTTCAACCCTGGGTGACTGTCGCTGCAGGTCGCGTGTCGTACGACGCGTGTCCACGTGCGAGCGCGACCGGATTGCCTGCTGCTTCCGCATTCGCCTCGGACATGTACAGTACGAAGCTACGGATGCGCAAATGAAATGGAAAGATCACCCGAGGAACGTATGAAGACGTGGTGGAAATATGATGGAATTCAAATTACACGAATCATAGAAGACACGATGACGAGGATGCTGTTACTTACCAAGCGCTCTGATGCGACAAATACAAGAGAGTGTATGCAACATCTCACAGAGCTACGGCTGCCGCGAGAATACCCACAGCACCCACCATGGCCATCGCAGTCGGGATAGATCCAGCAGGTGCCAAGCCAGTACTCGGCGTTGAAGCGGCACCAGATTGAGACCTCGAAGGCGATGTCGCTCCTGTTCCTGATGCTGAGCCAGTAGGTGATGGCCCTCCAGTCGCTGAGGCTGATCCTGGAGAAGACGCACCAGTTGCGGTGACTAATGCAACCACCTGGTACGCCTCCATCTCCTGTATCTCGCTCTGCGACAAAACGCTCGTGGACGCGACCTGGTCGGCCTGGTCCGGGACGTATCCGCTCTGGGTGACGTCGCAGGTCAAGTCTGCCGTGGACATTGCGCCCTGCCAGCTGCAGGCCATATCCATTGTCCACGCGCCTGGAGTCGGGTCCGTGAGGTGCATCTCGTACGTCTCAGGGCCTTGTAGGATGGTATACGGCTCGCAGAAGGAGTAGTCCTCGTTGGAATCATCGTCCTGGCGGCGCACGCGAGGCGCGGGTGTAGGTGAGGGAGTCTCGGAGGAGTCGTCTGTGATCGGTACTGGCAGTGTTAGTGCGATCTCTCGCAACAGGTGCGTGACATACGGAGATCAGACGGCACGACTGACACGCCGACTCCATCTGAGGGACAGCTGTTCTCATAGGTTGTTGCGCTCGTATCGGAACCAAGCACGGTGAGGGTACTGTCGAATTGGAAGAAGTTGAGGATCGTCGCGGACTCTTGCGCAATGGCAGCGCCAGCGAGGAGCGGGATGTAGCTGGAGGGACGCATGTTGGATGACTGGCGACGGCTGATGGAGCTGCACCGCTGTCACGGCGGACCAGGCTTGAAGTTATACATTTCCTACCTGTCGAAATCAATACTTCGTAGTGTTACCGACGCGCCACCACGCCTTGCAATGTTAGGCGACGAATCGCGGGCGCGGTGTGCCTGGCGTTGGTGATGATGCATCAGCAAATACGAGAGGCGGCGAGACGCGCTGCCTGAATTTGTTGCTTCCCAAGCTCAGGGGCGCGCGTGGCTGAACTGTGATCGACTCATACTGACAAAGATGTTACGGTAGCATGGTGGCACTCTATCCGAAGAAAGACCAGACCCAGCCCTGGAGGTGTCTACATCGCTCTAGAATGGTGTTTACTTCTTTCCCAGCCAATATAGAATCTAGCGTAATCAATTGGTTTCTTTTCGGCATGAGGCGGTGGGAACAAGGGGAGTGTGGTGATGAAGGGTGCCCAGGTGCGAGGTTGGGGTCGTGACACGCATTAACCCGACTTCAACGCACCGCACTCATGTCACAACAGAGAAGATAGTGTGAGGGCTATGTAGCAGCTGAAATCTGGGCGTGCACGTGTGCAGTCATGTCGCAACATGTGTGGAAAAAGAAGCCCACGCCCGTGAGGGGTGTCTGCATCGTTGGGCAAAAAGAAAGATATTTTGCAAATGGCAAAAAGAGACATTCCGACACCGGGAATCGAACCCGGGCCTTGCCGGCACTGCGCTGCAACAGCGAGCTTACTCTGCAATGAGAGCGGCAAATCCTAGCCACTAGACCATATCGGAAATTGATGGAATGAGAAGACAATTAGACATATATCAATTTAGCAAAACTTCTCCGACGAAAATTGAGGGGGTTGAAGTTTGCCGGACACGAAAACTTTGCAGACAGCAGGGTGGTTCTCAACACGGGCTAGACAGCAAGTTATCCATCGTTGAGTCATCATCGTATGGGCTAGAGAAAAACTGGTCATCATTCATTACGTCGTTATCAAACAGCAGCGCAGTGGACAGCCCAGAAACGCCCGAGTAGGCTGAAGGTCAACAGCGTCGACGACAATCCCATAGCAACCCGAACCCGCATATTGTCAATTTGGACACGAAAGAAACATCCCATCATCCCATCACCGGCGTATCCGCTCTCTCCGGCAATGAATGCGCGATCGGCGCCAGTCCTAGCAGCTTCATGCCATTCTCCAGCACGACTGCAGTCGCCTCATAGAGCGCAGCCAGACCGGAGGTGACCTTCGCATCCTGATCGCCATCAGCCTCCTCCGGAAGACATTCAGCAAGCTGCTCAGTCACACTGGCGAGATACGTAACAACACCAGCCGGCTCGAGCGAATGGTAGGTCGCATTCACGACCTCCGGGTACTGAGCCAAAATGCGCAGAAGATTGGCCGGGTCTTCTTCAGCTAACACTTCGTAATCTTCATCCGAGAGTTCAGCTGCGGCATCAGCGCCTTTGAGCAATCGGCGGAGCTTAGCCAGCCAGTACTGCAGATCCGGGCCCGACCCAAGCTTGAAGGAAGCCATCGCGCTGGTATCGAAGGCATGTGTTGTGGTCAGGCGAGTCGACAGCTCTTGCACGAGCAGTGACGATGTCGCGAGTCCTTCCCTGACATCATCCAACCCACTTACCACTTCGAGCTTCTCAGCATCGGCTTCCGACAACGCAGTCATCGCTTCCTCACATGCGTCCAATATACCCTGCGGCTTGTACCCTCTACCAAGCGTCGTCGCCATTCTCGATACCTCACTAAACTTGACATGCTGGAGCTTATTGGCGAGCTCCTTCATGTCCATCGCCTCCAACACCTTGATGAGCTGAGTGAAGTGGACGCTATTGTCGCTGGCAACCACATACACCATCTTGTCGAACGAGTACTTCCTCGAACGCTCCAACACCGCGGCGAGGTCTCGGAGGAGGTATGTGCTGCTACCGGAGCGGTCGCGAATAATGGCCGTACCAGCTTTCGCACCAATGTTCTGCATGTGGACGATCTGAGATCCTCCACTCTCCTCCGAGACACCCTTCTCCTTCAGCATCTGTTCCACTTCCACCATAGTCTCAGGCTTGATCTGCGACTCGCCGGAGTACTCATCGAAGCGCACACCAAGTCGCTCGTAGAACTTCGTGTAGTTTTCGATATTGACATCTCGCACGCGCTTCCAAAAGGCGACTAGTTCTTCGTCACCCTCTTCCAGCTTCTTGAAAGCTTCGTTGCGTTCTGCGAAGATGCCTTGGCTTTCGATCTCGGCCTGCGCCTCGCCATTGTCTTCACCTTCCTTCGCTACTTCATCCCGCGCTGCCTTGCTCGCCGCCTGTTCCGGCTTGAAGTCTTCCTCAATCTTGTGGTAGACCTCCAGCAGGTGTCCGACCGGATCCGCCGCATACGCTTCTTCCGAGCCATACCTCGACCAGCCAACGTACAACAACGCGATCGGCTTGCCCCAGTCGCCGAGATAGTTGATACGCGTCACTTCCCATCCCATCGCCTCGTATAGTCGGCCGATGCATGCGCCGATGGTTGTGCTTCGCAAGTGCTTTCCTTGGAACTCGCTGGTGATGTTCGGAGAGGAGAGTTCGACGACGAGCCTTTTCGACTCATTGGATGTAGCAGAGCCATAGTTACCCCTTGAGGTGTAAGGGAATAGAAGACGCGGTACAGAACTAGGCTTCAATTGGACGCGGAAATGCACACCATCCACAAAGGGAAAGAGGAAGAGTGGGTCGTCTTTCGGGAACTAAGCTGTCTTAGACGAAGGTCTACATATCCGTGAGCGTCGAGGTGGACGTACCTTTCCCAAAATCTCGAACGCTATTTCGTCGGCTTTGGAGCCTGGCCGAAGCTTCGGAAGAACAACAGCCAAATCTCCGTTAAAGATGTTATTTGGCCATTGTATTGACTTGTAGGCAGCGTCGATGCTGCAATCCAACGCACTCGCTAAGACTTTTGCTAAGTGTACACGACAGAGATCCAGTGGGTTAGCGAGCACATCTGCTAATGCCACACTTGGCAAAGGGCTGGTCAGACTTAGCGCGACTAGGCACCCTTCGAGTGTTTCCGTCTCAAGCATTTGGATCGCTGTTTGTTGGGTTGTAGGTGTGTTGGCGCCGACACTTTGGCAAGATCAGAGCTATCCACAAGGCTGTACTGACTCTAAGGCTGAGCAAGGGCGACACCAGGTCATTTGACACCTGCAAGTGCGAGTGTGAACAAGACGCCCATCCTATCGCACGAACTTCCTTAAGTGCTCACCCATTCATATTTCAGCCTCATCCAAGAGTATGCCACGTTGGTCAGGCAGTAAGTAGTCGTGGTCATCTGCAATTGGCTGTGCTCCTCTACAGCCGCGGCAAGAACTTTCGAAGAGGGCGCAAATTGCCACAATACCACCAACACGCAGAGTCATTCGCTCATTGCATATCTTTGATCAAGACGACTGCCAGCACGTTGACCACGTGCTTGCAGACTTGCAGCTTCACTTTGCGAATCGCTGCGCCTCCATAATCATCATCATCACGTAAAAACTCAATTCTTGAAAGGATGTACTGTGATCGGTAAGAGCACATCTTGAATATGATTGGATTGGAAAAGACAGGGGGGAAATGGTGATCCACGATACCAAAAGCTACGATGACCGAAGAACCATGTATGTGGTGGTCTAGCGATCTCGATGTGTCTCGCATGACCTAATCATACTCAAGAATCCTTGGCAAGATCTGTGTGCGTGTATCTGCGCCGTAAAACCCTTTCACCGTTCTCATTGAGAACAGTGAGACCCCTATCGCCGCGACATGCCGCTCGGGCCCTCCTTGAAATTGTGTCCAACCAAGGCTGTCGGCGGTGCCAGCCTCCGTTCAGGACCAGTAAAATTTGCAGAGACAACATCCCGATCGCAGTCGTGACCAAGAAAGAAAGAGAGTTTCGTTTGTAGGAGAGAACAGGCCCAGGTATGGCGAAAATGCTCGCCACGATGACGATCGGGGATACAATTAATACCGTGAACTCGTTGATGTGACTAACCTGTCGGGTCAGACCAAACTCCAAACGTCGCGCAAGCTTTTCGCAACGCTCTTCAATCCTTTGTAGCTTTGCCTGCAAAAATTTCATCTTGTCAAAAGTTTGATCGAGTAACTCCAGTAGTTCCTCGATGTGCGTTCTGGTGTGAACAGAGGAGTGTTGGTGGCGATCTCGGAAATACTCGATGTCTTTTCCGGGACGTGCAAAACGTAGCCAGCTTTCTGTCGCTTCTGAGAAGCTGGAAATCAAATGCTGTACTAATAACAGCATTTCTTCGTTCCAATCCAGTAGGGAAGGGTTGCTGTTGCCGCCCGCACGGGAGAATTGTCGGCCTAATGCTCGTCGTCTGTAAGATGCTTCTACAACGCGCACCAGATCCCTCGCCTCTTGGAACATATTCTCAGCCCTAATCTGATATATATGCAGGAAGTATTCTCGCGGGTCCCAGATAGTCTTATCTGCGTCAAGATGTCCCATGGAAATCTCATCAGATCGCCGCTCCGGCAACCGAAAATCGTCACCACGATCTGAATCGAAAATCTTCGTTTCGAGAGCGTATGCAGTCCAGCGGGAATTGTCAGTCCCACAAATAGTGAGGGAGAAGTGGGCTAGGTGCATACCCATAACACCCTCCTCAGCGTTCTCGGCCAGGAAAGATAGATCCTTCCAATCGGAATAAGTAGCTTTTCTTTTGACTCTGCTCAAGCCTTCTGCCGGAGTCTCCCTTAATGCAAAGCACGGAAGATGGACTCCAAGGTGGAAGACTGGATAGCCACGAACTGGAATGTTGACTTCCAATGATATTTGTCGATCGATGAATTGCCAAAGCAGTCCCAACAACGAGCTCTTCTGATATTGGCGTGCAGTATCGGTCAATGCCAGTATGTAGCAGGGATCAGGGTCAGTAATGTAAAGTAATCTGCGATCAGCGTCTTCGAAGTAGTCATGGTCGAAGCGCTTTTCACGCAAATGCGCATAAAGGGCTCCTGGGGTCAAGCTTTCCTTGTAAAGCCTTGGTAAGGGAGTAGTCGATGTATGTTTGGGAGAAGCTCTAGCTGGTTGGTTTGTTCTGATTTCCATCTCTCGGCCTGCATCTGGTATGACACCAAGCCCCTGTCCTGTCGGGTTGATGGTGACACAGTCTGACGTAGGCAAGACAATACCCGAGCCGCATGGTGCTGTATTGTCGGAAAGCTCCGACACAGGCGGTTTTGAACGATCATCGAGCCATGCTGTGCCCTTGTTCGACGTGAGCATACGATGTCGGCTGACTTTACGGCAAAACTGGGAAACGACCTCAACGGGGAAAAATGTCTTGTCATGTTCGTACTGCTGGGAAAAAAGCCGGACTCCGTGGTTGACAGGGTCATGCTCGTTCAAAGAGTCGACAAAGGGACGGTCATCTTTTGGCTTCCGGGATTCAAAGAACTTCCGTGGCCATTGCCTGTATACACGTCCTTGAGGCGATGGCGAAAACATCTACAGCGTTCAGGATCTTCAATCTCTAATGGCAACTCATTAGATACGTCAAAATCAGGCTAATGATGGTAATATATGGCGACCTTCCTATCAAAATGAATGGAAGAGACTTACAATCCGAAGATCCAAGGTGCAAGGACCCCGATGATGGGACACCTTTCTGTGATCCGACACAAAGCGGCGTTGGCTGGAATGAAGTCGATTGGCTTGTAGAGGGAAGAGCATGATGCAGCCAGATGGCCTCTTTGTGGAAAGGTTCTGGAAGCTCGAAGCGTCTGGAGTGTCACGCCAGTACGACTCTACGATTATACAGATGCGAATGCACTAGAGGGGCATTGCGTCTAGTTATTTGTGATCCAAGGTGGCGATTCCTTCAGCCGCAGCATGCATGATAGTATGCGTCGACTTTGGGTGTACCAACGAGAAGTCCGGACAGATATCACGACCTCATGTCGTAACTCGAAACCGAAGTGCACTAGTCGTGACACGTATTCAGGCGTTTTAGCCAAATAAACAGGGCGTTTCACAAGGCTTCGTCTGCCTTCTTCAACGCCCTTGGTTATCACCAATGGAGGACACATCAAAGCACTAGGAGATGTCTATTGGCGATTGATAAGGTACGAGATACGGATATCCGCGCTCCGGGTCAGTAGTGGTAGGGCTATTACATGCTGTGCGCCACAGACGTTGCGCAGAGTTTCTCGTTTATTACGACGTTGGGCAGCAGTGATTCCATCCCGTCTTACCGCATGAAGGACCTTGCAAAACATAGTGATCCAATGGAAAGCATGTTGCCAAGACATCTCCCCGACTTCCATCATGTAGCTGCTCAGATGACCAGATGCTCGTTGTTGATGTTGTTTGGCGTCGTTAGCTTCGTTGCGACCGGTCATGAGACCGAAGACTTGATGGAGATTGGATAAATGATCTGGGCGGTTGGTGGAACAGACATCAACGCCGTGACGCAAGAGGTTGCAGCGTAGGATAATCAGGGCTTGTCTTCCTGGCCTGTAACCATACTCGCGACATATTATGCCCACCAATATGGTCCATGCGATTGCCGCCGGTGCTGAACGACACAGCTGCACCCCAGAGTCCGGGATAGGTGATGGGGTAATTGGTGGGTGGAATCCGATAGCAGCATTTGAAGGTAAGGACCGTAAGGTAGCAAGCGTCCCTGATGCCAAGTAATAATGGCGATTGCAGACGATACCCAGTCATCTTTGATTGTATGCCCCATGGTCTTGATCGCGCGTTCGAGTGTCTGGCCGCGGCCAGAATCGTTGTATTCGTCTCGTTGGTAGGAACTGTGAAACGAATGAGCAAAGAGGTAAATGGGGCTTAATTGGAAGAGGGAATAACAAGTGTACGACTAGAATAGTCTTGCTCGAGGTACATACATTCATCTTCGTAGTAGTAGATCCAGATCTATTGGTGAAGTGAGGTCCGGAGCTGCTGCTTGAACGTGCTCGGCTGGTGTGGCAACCGTATATGGTCGTTGTTACCACTTCCTTTGACGCCGTCGGCCTGCAAGAGCATGACGCGAGAGCCGAGGCTTTCGATGATGCGGATATTGTGCTTGTGTCTCTGGAGCATGGTATGCTTCCGTCTCAGATCGATCCTCAAGGGTGTTGCTGATGTCGCCCTGCAACGGTTGCATCGCCCGCACCTGTACTCGGGTCGTAGTGCAGTATGCACATCTGCCATAGCCGCATCCTGGGCAGCCTGCGCTAGATATGGGAATATTAGAAGTAGCGCAGTAGCACTGTATCAGTTAATCATACGTTCGCGAAGCTCAAGAGTAGGGTTCAGTTACACATTGCCAGATGAAGACCTGGCGCTTCTTCGCCTGAACGTATGAGCTCGGGCGTTCTGTTCCCCATTTTGTAACTCACGAGCTTCTGTCTGGGGGGTACGCAGGAGCTACAGTAGATAAGATAACAATAAGAATAACAATTCAGAGTGATCTCTTACTGGTGACTTCCATGCCTATCATGACTCTCCATTGACTCTGCATTGAGCAACTTGAGCTTTTGGATTCGGTTCGGGACGAGAATAGAAGTAAATTTTCAAAAATGTTGTGAATGCAGAACGCCTAGCGAGCGGTCAAAGCTTGCCATATATGCATTCGCCAGTTGTGCATTAGTCGATCACCACTCTGAAAGCGGTCTTACAAGGAAACTAGTTGCACGACCCTCGGAGAGTGTGGTGACTGCGAGCACAGCCTTAGCATATGTATGCTGCGATATCTGCGTGCCCTTGGGTCTCTCATAATCTTATTTCGTCCGGCTGAGTAGATGTCTAGGGTCTTACCAGGTTGGATTATCCGGAATTTGTTTTTCAAGGATTGGGATGAGTATTGACGTGGTATCTTTCGTGAGAAAGGAGAGTCCATCGTTAGAGTGAGTCGCGTCCAGATTTTTGATGGCTAGTCCAATGCCAAATCCTGGCACGGAAACTGCAAGATTCAGGCGTAGTTGATAAGAGAAGAGAGATAAAACCTGAGGGAGGATGACGCGACCTGTGGGGTTCCGACACTAGGTGTTTGGATGAGTGGCGTGACGGCACACTTCGCCAAGTAACGCCTCTGTCCAGGTCTCAGTGGTTTCTCACTACTCCTTCGGTTAGCGGACGAATCGCAGCGAGTCTGGTGTATTCTGCCGTGTTCGGGCTTTGCATCAAGAATACGGTTTAGACCTAATAGGGTTGCGGAAACAAGCCCTTGCAAGGTAAGTAAGCGGGAACATCGGAGCATTGGGGGTTCAGCCCGTGCCCCTCAAATATTGACTTCGAAGGATCACCGGCTCTAGTCTCTAGAAGAAGTAGTCCCTTGCTGACAAGATACCATGTGATGATGCGATGACAGACTAGAACCAAATTTGAAGAGCTAATACACGTGGATGGACCCTATTGGGAACCCGTCCAACGGGTCAGACCGGCTGCATAACCTCCAACTCCATGCTGCCTTCGGATGTTAATTTTGGGTGCGATCCAAGAACGGAAGCCTCTTACCTTGCCCCTCTGAAGACGAAGGGGGCGGTTTCTCGCTTCGACGAATCGACTTCTTCCATGAGACTACTCTGAGCAGAGAATGCGCATGCTCGAATAACAGAGCGAAGAGTCGAAGTATGAGCATCAGCACAATTGAGACAAGAACAAATGACTTTGGATTGCGACTGAATGCGAATATGTCCTTCTCGGAGCCGAAGTACTGGAGGACCATCTGTAATGGCGTTGTGAAGAGAAGCAACTGGAGGAGTGTTAAAACAATTGATGTGTAGGTTCAATTTAAAGACTTACCTCAACGTTCACACGAGTGCTGTTGCTCGTCTTCGCAGCAGCAGCTTGGTTCGCCAGTGCTGCTTTCATGCTCAATTCGTTAATCTCGCGCATCTTGTCGCTGAGGACACTCGTTCGTTGGTTCAATTTGTGCGTCCGCTCACTCAGATCGTGATTGTCTATATTGATCCGGTTGCTGTCTTTGTTAAGCAGATTGCTCTCCAGATTGAGCTGGTTGCTCTCTTTGTTCAATCTGTGGCTCTCCATGTTCAGCTCATTGCTCTTAATTGTCAACTTGTGGCTCTCCACATTCAGCTTGTTGGTCTCTCTGCTCAGTTGAATGCTCTCGAAGGTCAATCGGTTAGCCTCAAGATCCAGTATACGGCCAAGCTTCGTCATCGTTAGCCGCTGTAGTTCGAGTCGTAAGTCAACTCACATGATCCGAAACATGTCTACAAGAAGCCCTGAGAGATCCCAATCTCAGGTAGAGGTCTCCAAGCTTCTGGAAATGTTCCTTGATATCATTGCGAAGAGCAATGACGCTTGGCCCGGTCAAATCGGAGAAGTAGCACTTATCACCGCCGGGCTCGTCAAACCTTCTGTATGCGCGAAGTGTCATCGATAGAGAATCTCGAAGAGTGCGCAGAAGTTGCATCGCCTGAATTGTTTGGTCCAACGACTTTCGTATGGCTCTTGGATCTACGCTGGACCCACTCAGGCTGTCAAGGCAAAGATCGCACGATTTCTGGCAATACAATAAGCCGAGCGGTCTTGAGGCTTAGCGCAGGACTTACCCAAGCTTCGATGGCATCTTCCACAGTACGGACTAGATTCTGCCACTCTTTCCACACCAGCTGGCAGCGAGCTGAGAGAACTCTCAACCAATATTTGCGCGCATCCCACTCTGGATTGTTTGCATCGAGCACATAGTCCAGGCCGTCTTCAGCAGCCAGAAAATCTTGTTGAGGCATATCTTCGGCCTCTTCCTCAGAATCGGTATCTTCTTCTTCCTCAGCTTCGACACGGGTGTTGGCGAAAGCATATCCAGTCCACTGAGTGTTACTCCACCCACATACCACAACACTAATATTGGCTTCTTCAATAACGTGCCCGGTGGATGCTGAACCAAAAGACGACTGTATATCAAGCCATGCCAGGTCGACCAATGGCGTGTTCGTGGTGTCTTTCTCCGCTACTCCAGCCTTTTCAGTTGGGAATGGATCGACTTCGCGTAGAACAAGATAGGCTAGGTGGAATTCTAGACAAAACGTCGGCCAGCCATGCATCTACTCCGTGTGTGAGAATCGCTCTGTGTAAACGTTGAAAAATCGGCAGCTGACACATACCGAGGGCTGCACTCGAATCGATGTCTCCATTGCAATGTGTCGGCAAATCGCATCGCGCAAAGGGATCTTTTGATGACTCCAGGCGGAGACGGCAAGAGCTCGAACGAAACTCGGGGTAAGATTCGAGACATAGCTATCAAGGGATAAGCTATCTGTAAAGTGAAGTTTATATGAATGGATTTTGTCTTGACTCACATCAAACGTCGATCGACATCCGGAGACTGATGCAATTTAAAACGCTGTACTTGTCAGTGTGTTATGTTCAGAGCGATGGTAATAAGTACTTCTTGTCTCAAAGCAGAACATAGATCGGCTGCGCCCATTCTGCTCATGTGGTTCCTTCTGTTACCTGTGCAGTACTCGCGATCGTCCAACCAAGCCCATGCATTGTCTTCAGCTTTGACCAATGCGTTGTTGTCTTCACTTGAGAAGAAGTGTCTCACAACTTTTGCCTCCCATGAGGAGATCGATCCGTCCCAATCTCCGAGGAACATATGGCTGAGCTTGTCGTCAAACAAGAGCTTGATCTCTTGTCCTTGATATCGCTGCCATTTGGGTGCTGTATTGGTGCTGCTGACAGCGGCACCCGTAGCTGACATTGCGTTGTCGGTAATCCTGTCATCCTCAGTATCCTTTCCCTCCTCTTCGCCGTGATTCGCGTCGCTGTGCCCGCCGCTTTGCGGGTTGTCGTTTCGGCTGGTCTCGTTGCCTTCGACTTCGCCGACGAAGACTCTGCGGCATTGTTCCACAAGTGGGTCATCCCCAGTGAAGCGACGCTCGAAGAATATTGGATGCCAATGTTTCCCATGCTGTGAACGTTGATTAACTCCGTAGCTCTTCTGCCTCGCCATGCTAGGCCTTTGCGTGTTGCGCGTAGACGAATGTCGCCTTGGAGACATCGAGCCTTGTGATTGTGACAATGATCTTGGGCGATGTCCAACTTTGCGGCTAGGTCGTGGGTTACGTCGTAAGAAGAGCGGTAGTCTGTAGTAGGGTAGCTATGTAGCTCAGTCGCAGATAGATTGTACCGTGCCTGAAGCAACAAGGAGTTGGGAAGTATTTTGATCCAGCCTCTGGCTGTCACATGAGATACTGTATCGAAAGGAAAAATTCCTGTAAGGCGTATCGAGGTGACGATGCTAGTAAACAAGGACCGGTTTACTTAGGACATCAGCGATCGAAGCGCGCGGAGATGCACATGAGACAGATCAGGAACGTAGAGCTTGCCAGCGCTTACAAGTAGGTATTTATACGGGTAGGCTCTGTCTCAGCCCTTCTCAGTCTGTCGCGCGGCTATTGAATAGGATAGCATCAAAATCTAGGGCGACGAATACAGGGCGCCTGCGGCAAAGCAAAATCCGCCACATGTCAACCTTGGGCTTCGCACTCCCGCCTTCACATGTTCCCATATGAGCTGCATAGAAGACATTATTTCCTGGTTTACTCGCAACCCTCTAGCAGGCACGCGTCCTCCAAGATAGATGCGTGCGAGCGCTTTGGGGTAGGACCATGGGTATGCAACGCATTCGGCACGCATTCCTTTGCCATCTGTTCAATTCGTACTCTTCTTGGTTGAACGTATCCATTCCTTGATGTTGGAAGATGCCTCGTTACCTTGTCCTGTCGTCGGCGGCATTCATCGGGCGGCAACAAGGCAGTCACGTCTCTCGAAAGAAGATAGGCCCGCATGCGAGAGCTGGCCATCCATGTCCATGCGTATCTTCGACGACCGCCAGCGCGCAGTCAAGAAATCGGCGTACAGTAGCTTATCGCGGTGCGCGAAGACAGTATCCGGCAAAGATGAGTTGGTTATTGGGGGAGGGTGGGAGCGCCTGACGACAAGCGGCCGGCAGTAAGGCGTCCACGGGTCGCTAGGCAGGCAGCTAGGCGACCTCGGGAAGCTTGAAGCTTTTGAGTTGCGGGAAGCTTGAGCCCCAACCTTTGGAAAGCACCGAGTTGTCCAGCTTCCCTCAACCCAGCGCAAACCTCGACTGAGGTGTAAAGCGTTGCTCAATATGATACTCCGAACTCTATCTTGTCTTCCCCTGGCTGTCAGCGCTCTTACCGCCGCGACAGCGCTACAAACACCTCTCGAACCAACGGTACTCGACCCCTCCACGTCAAAAGACCTCCTTTATCTCCATCGCAAGCTCGTAGAGATCGAATCGATATCCGGAAATGAAGAGAACGTTGGCGACTGGCTTACCAAATACCTCCGCGCGCACAATTGGACCGTCGAGAAGCAGGAAGCATCCAAAGACCGATACAATCTCCTAGCCTACGGCAGCAAGCGCGAAACAACCATCCTCCTATCCTCGCACATCGATGTCGTACCTCCATACTGGCCGTACTACTACAATGAGACGACCGATATCATTGGCGGCAGGGGCAGCGTGGATGCGAAAGGCAGCGTCGCACCCATGATAATCGCCGCGCAAGGCATACAACAACACCTCCAGGATGACATATCCCTGCTCTTCGTCGTAGGTGAAGAGACAGGCGGCGACGGCATGCGCGCATTCAGCAACTGGGACAAGCGCCCGTCCTCGCACGAAATCGTCATCTTCGGTGAACCCACCGAGGCGAAGCTAGTCTGTGGACACAAGGGCATGCTCGGCTTCGAGGTCATGGCGACAGGCAAAGCGGCACATTCAGGATACCCGTGGTTGGGCGTGAGCGCAAACGACATCATGGTGCAGGCGTTGGGCGAGCTCCTCAAGCTGAGAGAACACCTCCCGTGGAGCACGAAATACGGTAACACGACCATGAACTTCGGGCGCATCCAAGGCGGAGTCGCAGCCAACGTTGTCGCCGAGACCGCAACCGCGAACATTGCTACGCGCATCGCAGCCGGCACCCCCGATGTCATACGCGGGCAAATCATCGACGCGCTCAAGGACGTCAAAGCCTTCGCGCAGAAGGAAGGTGGTGACCTAGACGTAGAATGGGGTGGCGAGGCTTACGGTGTGGTGAACATAGACTGTGACATTGAGGGCTTTGAGACTTTGACTGTTAACTACGGGACAGATGTGCCTCACCTCTCTGGTGACCACAAGAGGTACTTGTACGGCCCAGGCTCCATCTTCGTCGCCCATTCAGACCATGAAGCGTTGAAGAGGCGGGAATTGGAGCAAGCTGTTCTAGACTATCGTCGCCTCATCCTGAAGGCGACAGAGGTGAGAGAGAAAGAACAGCAGATGTACGATGAGGAACAGATGGAATTATAACAGGAGACGAAGATTGGAATGTAAGTTGGACACACCTAGATATCCCCAGCTATAGGGAGTGACAATTTGCATCGGGTGCCATCGTAACTCAAAACCAAACACTTGAGCATTGGAGAGCAGATGGTTCAGGGCAGAAGAAAGGCGCCTTTGGAAAGAAAACGCAACGAACGATGCCACACCAAGCTACCGGCACTGGTGATCCTCAGGTCAACGGACTTGTAGAGACGAAGGATCACTTCACTATTAATGGCAATGTTGGCATAGTTCAATACCCGAAAACGCTTCTGAAGGTTACCCGATTTTCTTTTAGTCTTACAAGACAAACCAGCCGTATGCGAACAACGAAATTGTCTTACTTTTCATTTGTTCGTTCCTCGCAATATTGAAGGAGCACAATGAAGTAATGTCAAGAAGGTTCTTTATAAATCTTAGTAGCTTTCCCTGTGATAACAACAGAGATGTTGACCGTAGCGAAAAAACAGAGATGTTAAGAGTGTCCAGTTTCCAAAGTTTTTTCTTAAGATCTATTGTAAAGGACAAGAGGTACAACAAGACGCGGTCAAGTAAGTCTACCTAGGTATAATTACCTAATGGTAATGCATGTGTATTCTCTGAACCTCGAGTACATGCTGCATAGAGCTATATAGATTGACCACGCTCGTCTTATCATTGCCGAACAGCAATCCGCGGAAACTTTATGATTGCGAAGTACGTGGTCGCATGCTCCGTCGTATCTGCGGATCGTCGCAAGAATGCCCAGGTAGGAATGGAAATGGGCAGTAAGCCCCGCCCGACGAGCCGACTTACGATGCACTACCTAGGTACAACCTTGGGACCCTGGAATGCAGCCACGACTCGAAAAAGAGCCAATAATTTTTGTGACGTACCCAATCGTTTGTACGCTTGAGTTAATTGATGCCAATTTGTTCTAGGCACAGTTTACGGGTCGTCGGATGCTTCTAGAGTTTGCTTCCAAGTAGCTCAAGTATCCCGAGGTCTAATCGGCATGCGTCGCAACGTGATCTGACACACTTCACCTACTGGGAATGATGGAAATTCATTACACTCTACTCTCGTCACGATGCATATGCGAGAGATCAATATCGGCACTGCCACCTGAGCCATTTCTTCCAAAGATCATTCAAAGGCGATCCTCCAATTTGAGCTAGAATGTCTTTCAAGGTTCTATCAGAACCTTGGAAGACACGACTTGAGAGCGGTCGACTGTGGGTAAGCGTATGCACGTTTCCATCCTGTCAAACGAAACATCCCATTATTCGTTAGTGGGGAGCACTTTTCAGATTACCCAGTAACGTTGCCGATTGATAGCCACTCAACGCGAGAACATTGGAACAGTCGGTGGTCAGCCGCATCTGGCCTTCACTGTCAGCAACTAGGTCGAGACAATGCACCTTTAGCTATACCAAAACCTAATTTTGTTTTGTATCAGTTGTAAAGTTGTGCTTCGGTGTACGGTATAATTAGCTTTTAGTGATTGGGTGAGGGGTGGTAGCCTTCCTCTACGGACCTTTCGTCTACCATAGGACTACTTTGAATGTGTACAGGCAGTTTATTATCTCCCGATACTATTATCTGATCACAAAGGTGTGACCAAATAACACGGCTATCACTTCCTGTATCCGCACAGCTATCCAAGGAGGGCAGGATTCAATTGGGGAGTCAGCGCAATTGTTTACTTGGGTAGGTATGCTACGGGTACAAGCCGCTTCTTGATAATCACCTGGGCACTGTACATGTAGTCAACACTGAAATTCTCAAGTAGTTTTCCACGAGCCCCACTGTGAGTAAACTATGTTTCCACGAGCCCCACTGTAAGTAAACCATGTTTCCACAATTCTCAGTGATTCACACAACGATAGCAGCAGTGGTCCTGATTAAGGCAGCTTGTCAGTCGAGGTGGCGTGCCGACAAGGGTTATAGTCTGGTGTAATAGCAGAACCATTGTACCATAACTCTCCCGAGGTCAGTAGCCAATTACGAGAGTGTCTCAAGGTTCAATGTTGCGATTTACATCGGCCACAAACCGTACAGTGCTGCCGAGTGTAGTAGTACGGAGGGCCTTTAGGTGCGCGTGAAGCCAAAGTGACGCACTCTCATGGCACTGCTTATCATAAATAGAACTGTCTTCTATGTAATTAAGCAGTGGGCTCTGTTCATATTCGCTCCTGCTACGTAGCTGAGTTCCATTGGAAGCGCCAGGTTATCTCATTGCTAATCGACCTGAGCTCCGAGGCGTGATCGTTGGTATCACCAAGTTATTTTTAAGCAAATTGTTGCCTACTCAAGAGGATCACTATTTTAGTCACCCTCGAAATACAACATCAGCGATAGCAGTGTGTCACTTGAGGTATCTATCCGATGCAATATCACTTCCTTTTGGTCGAACACTGGGGCTCAGCCCAGATGACAGACCAGACGTAATTATTGCTAGTTCACACAACCGTATATTCGGCTGACTTCTAATACAGCCCTCTGTCGCTCGGGAACCAAAGTCGGGATTGGATGGATGCCGCATCACTCTTCCTCGAGAGGCCATTTCCCAATACCGCAGTACGATCTTCACTTGTAATCTCAATATTTCACGACAAGCTTCTCACCATTATAGATTTGTGGAAATCGACACGCCTATGTGTGGCAGTGCGTAAGTGCACCTTTTTTATTTCCAAGACATTATGACGAATTTGAACACCTACAATTGAGTATTTCATGATTAGCTTCTCACAATCATAGATCCGTGGGAATCGGCATGTTTATGTTTGGCAGTGTGTAAGTTCGCTGTTCTATTTCCAAGACATTAGGATCAATTCGAACACATACAGTTGAGCAATTGACTGACCGGAACAGTGCCAGTGCGGAACGGCTTCGATCCCTACCACGGACACAGCCTGTCCAAACTGTCGCCATGAGAAATCCGGATGTTGCACGACGACCAAAGTGTAGACAGAATGATGGGCGGTTGTAAAACCATCATACCTAGCTACCGAGTGTTGATCTCTACCATCTGCATAACCTCAAGCTGCACAAAAAGCCTTATTGTACTATAAGAACGACAACGATGTCGGTGCACAGCTAGAACAATTTATTAAAAAAAATCGCGATATACCAGTTGTTGAAACATCTGTTTCCACCTTCCACCGCCGAAGGCATCGTCGCGTTAGCCTCGATCACGTCGCATTGCTACTTGATGTACCCCCACATTTAGTCTACCAGGAGAAGAGTCTCGCTCAATACAGGTAGGTCTGAAAGCAGGTGCTCAGTGCCCCTTCCCAAGCTCCACTCCCCGACCTTTTACGGCCAAAGAGCAAACTGGGTAGATGGCACAAAGATTATTCTGGCGCATAATCCCTCATATTTGAAGGGACAGAGCGAACCAGCAATGGAAGAGAATGCGTGGTCCGTCTGGGTTCTGTTCGTTGCGCTGGTGAAAGAGACTGAGAGTAACGCGTAGAGAGATGCTTTGGCCGGCGCACGGAGCGGCGGAAGGTATGACCGGCGACGATAAGATAGACAGCAGCCAGAAGTGAGATGAGATGGCAAAGGAGGAAGGAGCGATGACACCACGCTATGCATTCAACTTACCAACGCCAATGATGCTAGCGTCTCATACCTCATATCATACATTTACTTATACAATCATTAAACCGTCGATCGAAATTCTCAGCTTGCGATAGCCGGCACGTCGTCCTCCTTTTGCGCAATACCCTCAGCTTCCTCAGCGGCCTTTGCAGTTTCCGACATACCCAGGTCTCTGAACTGCCAGCCATCATTCTCTTTGACCCAGTCTTTCCGCTCGCCCAAGATAGCTACACTGCTCTCGGCGCCCTTGACGAGGAACTGGTCAGCTACGGCTTGTACCTGCTCAGCTGTGACGTCGAGGAGGCGTTCGCGACGCGTCTGCAGCATATCGTCTGTGACGCCAGACAGGAACAGCCTCATTCCCTCGCGACTGACACTTTGTGGCGCATCGTATCCTTGGAATGCACTCAGCTTGGCTTCTTCAAGATCCTGAGGTGTCCATGCGCGGTCGCGCGCCCATTGCCCTGCTTCGGCCATGATCTTCATACTGTTCTGCGGATTGGGATCGCGGTATGAGTACATGCCGAAGAGACCGCCGATGCTACGTGCGTAGGCACCACCGCCGTATGCGCCACCTTTCTCGCGAATCTCTGGGTGAAGTTGCTTGAAGGTGAGGAGCTTTGCGAGGATCTCAAGAGGTGCGCTGGAGGCGTCGGCGTAGGCCACTGTCGGGACAGCGCGAGCGGAGTAGTAGACTTGGTATGGCAAAGGGAAGAAGGACTTGGCGTTGCGAGGGTACTGCTTTTGCTGCGACGTCGAGGGCACAGAGACGTCCTTGGGTAATGTGTTCAAGAAGCGATGTAGTGCCTCCTGGTTTGACGTTGAGCTCTCGCTACCGCAGTTGATCGCTACGCGGAGCTGGTTGCTGTTCGCGATAGTGAAAGACTGGATAGCTTTGAGTTTCTTGATGACATCGTCTAGCGACTCTTGCGATGCGAGAGCTGTCATAACCTTGACTTGGGTGAGACCCCCGGTTTCTTCTGCTAATCGGCTCACAGGACTGATTCCAGCTTCAGCGAACTTCATGGCATAAGAATGACCAGACTCTGCGATCGAGTTGATGGCACCACTTGCCGCACTCTGCAGGAGCTCTCGGATCTTCTTGCCCGCTTCAGGCCCATCAAAGTCCGTCTCTTGTATGATAGTCCGTAGGAGTTCGTACATGTCGGGTATGTTACGGTCGAAAGCGTAGCCGGAAAATGCCATACCTTCTTCGTACGCGTCGAGCGACAAGGGTGACTGTGAAGAGTGGTAGCCTACGGAGATGCCTCCAGTCTTCAGCTTGATCAGTTCCTCGAGTTGTTCCATCGTCTTGTCTTTGGTACCAAGGCGCATGATGGCGCTGGTGAAGAGCGGGATCATCTCTCGTAACTCGTCGGGGAGATCCTGTAATCTGTGCACAG